CATATTGAATGGTGCAGCAGGCTCGAAGAGCTGAATGGCCTACTCCCACTCATGTATCCTTTAATCTCAAGTACAAACAGGAGTCATACAGCACAGAAACAGACCCTTCAGTCCATGCTGACCATTATCCCAAACTAAATTAGCCCCACCTGTCTGCTCCAGGCTCATATCCCTCCAAACCTTTCCTATTTGTGTACGTATCCAAATGTTTTTTAAATGTTGTAACTATACCCGCATCCACCACCTCCTCTGGAAGATCACTCCACACATGAACCACTCTCTGTGTTAAAAAAAAATTGCTCTGCATGTCTTTTTAAAATCTTTTTCCTCTCACGTTAAAAATATACCTCCCTGGTCTTGAAATCCCCCACTCTTGGGAAAAGACACCTGCCATTCACCTTATCTATACCCCTCATTATTTTATAACCCTCTATAAGGTCACCCCTGAACCTTCTACACCCCCGTGAAAAAAGTCCCAGCCTATCCAACCTCTCCTTATAATTCAAACCTTCCACACCAGGCAACATCCTGGTAAATCTCTTCCGAACACACTCCAGTTTAATAATATCCTTCCTGTAACAGGGCGACCAGAACTGGACACAGTGCTCCAGAAGAGGCCTCACCATTGTCCTGTACAAACTCAACATGACGTCCCAACTTCTCAAAGGTCTGAGCAATGAAGGCAAGTGTGCTAAATGCCTTTTTAACCACCCCGTCTATGTATGATAGAAAGTTCAAAGAATTACGTACCTGACCCCTAGGTCTTTGTTCTACAACACCACCCAAGGCCCTAATTTAATTGTATAGCTCCTGGCCCTGTTTGTTTTTACCAAAACGTAATACCCCGCATTTATCCAAATTAAACTCCATCTGCCACTCCTCGGCCCATTGACCCAACTGATCAAGATCTCTTTGTAATCTTAGATAACCTTCTTCACTGTCCACCTTACCATCAATCTCCAGTCTGCAAACCACCTTTATTCTCACTAAATTCATTTGTAGAAGTGAACAAACAAAAGTGGACCCAGTACCGATCGCTGTGGCACACCGCTCGTCACGGGACTGTGCCAAAGCTTACCTGGTGGGGGATTCTCTGGGATTGCAGGTTGCACTCCTTCTATACTGAGCCAGTGAGCTGGGAAAGCAAAGAGAAGACGGTTACGCCCAATTAAAACCCATCCTCCAACACCCACCCGTCCTCGGGCTGTGAGGGCACCATTCATTCCCGGGCCCTACCTCCCTTCAGCAGGTATCGGGGAGCCACTGAGCAGCTTGCTAGGCCGCTGTCCCCGGGAACGGTTACAGGGCAATCCCATTGGCCGTGGGTCTGGAGTCACATGCAGACCAGGCGGGGTAAGGGCAGCGAGCATCCTTTCCCCAAGACAGGTGCAGAGCCAACCAGATGGGTTTTTAAATTACGGCTTTTCATTCTGGGTTCGCTGATTAACTGTTAATTAATAAAAAAAGAGAGAGAGAGAGACTTGCTGCAATAGCTTTTCCTCTGGCACTCACCGGGACAGATTCAAGAATGCCAAGTTTCCCGACCGCTTGAGATATCGCCACCGTAAACGCACCGAAGAACTATCAAACAAGAAGGTGATGGTGCACTCTTTGTGACAAGGCTTCGACCATTCAGAGTAGACATGCCGACTATTAGCACCTTTTCTCCTGCTGTGTAAATTGACATTCCCTTTGAAATTTGGCATTATTGTACCCATCCTTACGGGAAGGACATAAAAAAACTTCAAAGGCAAGTCTCTTTCCTCAGCAATATTCAAATGCCCTTTTTAAAAAATGTGTTTTAAAATCAACCTGCTTAGGAGAGCTGTTAGAGCAGGTGGAGCTTGAGCCCAGGGCCTCCTAGCTCAGGGATAGGAACATTACCGCTGCCCCACAGGACGCAAACTCTGTACGATGAAGCAATGGATTTGTTTGAACCAGTGTTGCTGCAGCAATAGGCTGGTCCTTTCCTGACTCCACGAATGGGGAGGGCGGGGGGGGGGGGGGGGGGCGTTGTCCAATCGAGGGCCTTACCTTTCAGGCAGACGTCCAACGGCACCCGCGGGAGAGGTGTGTTGATGATGTCGCTGAGGTCGACCTCCTTCTCCTCGTAAAAGTGGAGCTCCCGCCCACCCCCGCTGGCATAGCGGAAGGGAATGAACTCCTGGGCGTGGAACCCGTACAGCGGCTACAGAGGGGAGCGGAGGAGGCCACCGGTTATACACAAACACCGTTCAGGACCTGTGCCATTCATCAGTCGCTAACCCTCCCCCACCCCAAACTGCACCCACCTTCCTTCAATAAACTCTGCTTCAATGTACTGGGGTTTATGACATTGGCAGAGGACGATACAGAGGGCATAGGTTAAAGGTGAGAGGGGATAAGATTTAAAAAGGTCCTCAGGGGTAACCTTTTTTTTCACACAGTGGGTGGTGCGTGTATGGAATGAGCTGCCAGAGGAAGTGGTGGAGGCTGGTACAATTACATTTAGGAGGCATCTGGATGGGGGCACGAATAGGAAGGATTTAGAGGGATACAGGCCAAATGCTGGCAAACGGGACTAGTTCAGTTTTGGAAACCTGATCGCATGGACCAAAGGGTCTGTTTCTATGCTGTATGACTCTATGACAGACAACAGCCCATGCGGAGATAAGTGACACGCTAAAATTATTCTCAATGCGGAAGTTAATGGAGGAGATGCCGCCTTTATCTCTGCCAGAATTTCCACATCAACGGACTGCCCAATATTTACTTCCTATCCTTAACTGCACAGGTTGGAACGAACTGCCTTTTCGAACCGCTGCACTCCATGTGGTGTAGGGTCACCCACGCAGCGCTGTCTAGGTGGAGGTCCAAGGATTCTGACCCAGTGACACTGAAGGAACAGCCGATATATTTGCAAGTCGGGATGGTGAGTGGCTCGGAGGGGAACTCGCCAGGGGTTGGTGTTCCCATGTATCTGCTGCCCTTGTCCTTCTGGATGGTAGAGGTCGTGGGTTTGCAAGGTGCTAACAAGACAGGCTTAGTGAATTGCTGCAGTGCTTCTTGTAGATGGCATACACTGCTGCGACTGTGCACTGGTGATGGGGAGTGTGAACGTTGAAGGTGGCAGATGTGGTGCCGATCAAGCAGGGGGGCTTCTTTGTCCCAGATCATGTCAATCTTCGAGTGTTGTTGGAGCTGCCCCCATCCAAGGCAAGTGGGGAGTATTCCATCACACTCCTGACTTGTGCCTCGTCGATGGTGGCTTTCCCGCAGGCTGGAAGGCCAATAAACTGCGGACACAAAGTTTTAGAAGCTCGTCTTTGTTGATGGAGTGGAGGGCATGAGATTCTTCTTTTAAAACGGAGTTATCCCAATCTGGAACGCACCACCAGAAACAGAGGTGGAAGAAGATTCAATAGCGACTTTCAGAAGCAGAATTGGATAAACAGAACAGAATAGAATCCCGACAGTGTGGAAGCACACCACTTGGTCCATCGGGTCCACAAAGACCTTGTGAGGAGCATCCCACCCAGACCCACACCCTTACTGTGCATTTCCCACTGCCAATCCACACTAACCTGCACATCCCTGGGCACTATGGGACAATTTAGCACGGCCAATCCACCCTAACCTGCACATCCCTGGACACTATGGGACAATTTAGCACGGCCAATCCACCCTAACCCGCACATCCCTGG